GAATCAAACCAGTAGAGGTGATGACAGGAGTGATGTTTGCATGCTTAGAGAGAGCTTCTACACACTCTTCCTTGCTCATGTGGAAGATCAAACATTTTTCTATCATATGCTGCACCTATACATACATACATAAATCCAAAGATGTTGAGGTATCTATACATAAAAGAGAAATAGAATCATTCATCGACCACGAACAAGAATCATTCTTGAATCATATGTAATATTACCATGTGAATGTAAGAAGCAGAAGAAGAATCAGCCATTAGTAATGGAAACCCTAGATTTACACCCAAACTCAAAAGAGAGCCTTCTCTAAAAGCCACTTGTGGAGATAAAGACGGTCATATATAGAAGAAGATCACGCAAAAAAAAAAGAAGAAGATTACAAAAGTTGAAAGATGATATGCATGCATGGGGCCAGAAACCCCACGTGGGAGATTGATCATAATTGGCTGAGAAAGGATTAGAGGAGATTTGTAAAATCACTCTTTCTCTCTTCTCCCTTCATTTTTTCCCGTTTCATCCCACGCTTCCTCCACGTGATCCATGGCCCCTTCTCTCTACTATTTTTTTGCAAAAAAACATTTAGTCATGATTTTGTTTCCATAATCTTCTAGATATTAATATAAAATGTATATTTGATCTAAAAACTTGATTTTACAAGATTACAAAAAAAAAGTGTAATCAGAATATAGAGGAATAGATGACCCTCCGCGTTATACGCAGTCAAATATTTTTTAGAAATTAAATTAAATAAATTAAATATTATTTTGTGGTTAAAAATTGCTAATGATGTTCATTTTGGATTTAGTTCAATTTTATTTATATTAAATAATATCTCTTTGTTTTTATGTTTGCCAATAATCTAATTTCATTAATAACAATGACTAAAAGTTCATTTACAATTTTTTTTATCAATCTTTATTTACAATTTAACTACCAAAAAAATAACTGAATTGGTTTTTAGATCCAATTTTATATCGTAATAATCAAGTAAAATTTTATCTTTTATAAAAATTTCTCAACTATTATTGATGTTGTAGTGTCGACCTTGCCATTAACACATTAAATCAAACTACTAATACGGTATGTGTAAATTGTTTTATAGCTTGAAAATTTGACAAAATAAAAAACGACATAGTATGAACAATTGTGTTCAATATCTATTTGGTTAAACCTGTGTAAATTATTATATTTGTGAATAACAATATCTAAAATGAAAATATCTACTATGGATGATATTATTGTATGGTTTGATTTTGGTTTGTGTTTACATTTTAATGAAAATATCTTTTATTCGAATAGGTCTTAGATCAATATTATAATTTTTGTTAGATTCAATATTTAATTTATGCATTTATATTACACATTTTTTAAGTTTTACGTAAATTGTAAAAATAATCACATTAATATTTTATTATTTGCTTATAAATTTTTATATAAAATATGAAGTTTACTATAGAAAAAAAAATTATTTAGAACAATAATTTAAAGAGTGCTTCTTTGTTAAATAAATAGGTATAACTCATATTTATTTGAATTGTATCATAAGTATAAATTATGTTAAATTTGGCTTGTTCAAATATCTTAAGTAGAATTTAGAATACAAATAAAATTATTTAATATTTTAAAACAATAAAATATATAATCATAAATTTTATAAATGAAACACGGATTAAATAAAAATCTGTTACTTTCGAATTAAATTATGTTTTGTTATTTTCATAATCTTCTAGATATTAATATAAAATGTATATTTGATCTAAAATCTTGATTTTACAAGATTACAAAAAAATAAAAGAGTAATCAGAATATAGAGGAATGATGAATAAATAAATGACTTGAGCAATTGTAATTAGCCATGTTTTTCTTGCAACAATACAGACGATAGTGTGAAATCTATAATTTTAGGTCTTAACTTTTCTTGAGGCACCAAGAGAAAAACCCTGTTGTAAAAAAAAAAAAAGAGATGTTTTCAAAAAAAAAAAAAGATAGTCGATGTGTGGGTTCGATTTTAGATTTGATAATCTATAGATAATAAGAGGAAAAATGAAAAATCGAATGAACATGACATGGGTATTCTAAGTTGATACATATATATGTTGTTCAGTCTATTGGTTGTTTATATAATAGAAGCGTTTAGGATATACAATTGCAGGGTCTAACTACCTGATTACCAGATTGCTATTGAACTAGCTTGGTCACAAGGTGCATCACATACTCGAGCACTTAAGACCACGGCATTGAATCGGATTATTTTCCACAATTGATCGGTTCTTAAATCGAAGCACAAAGCATATGAAGAAAACTTCATTGGCCAGCTCTAGGTCTACAAACTATTATATTT